GGAGGACGCCGCCATTCTGCACACCAGACACCCCCCCAGCACGTCCAGCCCAGATCTCAGTGTCGGATCCCTGCTCTCCGGGCACAGCCAATTTCCCCAGGACAAATCTCCTCCGGCAGATCAAATGAGTGATCCCTCAGTGACACAGACACTGCCATGGTGCCCAGGCCCGCAGGAAGACACTGCTTCCCTAAGGAAGCTCCCCATGGCCAGGCGGTGCTGGAGCCTTTCAAGTAGGTGAGGGGCCACAGGTAGAATCTGCTCATGCAGCAGAGAGAGGCAGAGAGAAGATTGATTTTCATTAGCCAGGCTGACCTTGAGGAGCAGGGAAAAGCAAAGGCAACTTACTTTGACTGTTCAAGCAAGATCTCGTCTCTCCCATCCCCCTCCCTGGAAAGAAAAGGCAACGGATCTGCTGAGATTTGGGCTTTTCCGGTGCCTGGAGCCCACCTGCGGCCCCCTCTGAGCGATTCCAAGTGAGATGCTCATCCCATCCAAGGAAAGGCAGGCAGGGAATTAGTCACTCTCCTGGGACACCCAGACTTGATTTGGACCCTGATTTCTTTACCACTAATACCAAGGTGAATTAGGAGGGCAGAGCTGACCCAGGCAGGGCTTTGTGAGCACACTGCCAGGATGGGAATGGGCCACGGCGGCAGAAAACCCTCGTGTGAGCTGCTGCCTGCTGCCACTGAGCTCCTCACCTGGTCTTAGTAAAGCACAGGATGGTGACCTGAAGTGCCCTGGACCCCTGAAGGGATATGACACATCTCCATCTGCTGCTAGGACCATGCAGAGGGGAGCGGAGAGCAGCCTCCGAGGGTTCCCATGTCCCTCATGACCCAGATCCCATCTTGGGGTGAGATCATGTGAGGGAAGATGCTGATTCCACCCGGGGAGGAGCTGCTCACATCTGGGTGTCCATCCCCTCTAACCTGAATGCTGGGATTTGGCAGCATTTGGGCATTAGGGCTCTGGCAGCAAAGCCCCATGAGGCTCCGTGCTGGGTCTGAACCAAAGCGTGACCCAAAAGGCAAGATTGTGGGTCCTGAGATAAAGAGCAGCCAAAGAGCAGCCCCAGCACAGCCACCCCCAGCTCTCTGAGCAAGACCTGGAGCTCAGGAGGCATGAGGAGACCCATGAGCTGGGCTTAGGCAGGAGGAGGTGCACAGGAGGCACTGTGGGGAGGAACCTTGAGCCTGGGGACAGCAGGCAGAGACAGAGCTCGCAGTCGGGCCATGCAGCATGTGTCAACCCTGACACTTAAGATCTGGGCCCAGGGCTTGGACACAGGATCCCAGGCAAGACAGGTCCTGGGAGGACCCCCAGCTCTGAGCCAGGGCCCAAATGCTCCTGGACCTCCAATCCCCAGGTGCAGGGGTTGGACATAGACCCAGATTTGCTGGCTTGGGGAGGCAAAAGTCCCCCTGAGACCCAAGGGGATGTGAACCAGAGGATCTGTGGGTCTTCCAGTCCAGTGGGATGGGGGGAAGACAGACTGAATACTGGAGCTGAGACCCCACTGCTGCCCCCAACCCCGGGGAGCCCAGTGGCCCCCACTCACTCCCTGCTCCAACCAGTCCATATCGCAGCTCCCGGTGGGCCGGCCAACCCCAGGGCACTGCTGCACCCCACGCTGCCTAGTTGGCATCTGCGGGGACCAGGGCAGTGTGTCCCCATCCTCCTCCTCCTCACACCCTGCCTGCCGGGGTCAT